TTGCTAAGTGTCCCAGTCATTTTTCTCTCATTATACCCAAGGCCTCCCAGTAACAGCGATTAAATATACACTATCAGTTGCCATTATTGCCACAAGTTCATGGATCTTATTCCCTAAACTGCGAGCATTTGTAGACATGACTCTAAGCTTATCATTTTTTAACACACTTGCTACAGGCATCTTCTGTCCTTCTTTTGGGGGACAATTGGATTGATGTTTTATCACCCTTTTGCCCCCCCTCCTAGTTTAAATACATCCTAGCAAAATCTCTGAACTGCTCACTGAGAACATTTGTTCCCTTTTGAGAAAGATGCAAACCATCTTTTTTGTACAGCTTATCTCCATTCAAAACAGAGCTACCACGATAAATAAAGCCAAATCCTTGCTCCCGACACCATTCACCAAGCCACAAATTAAAGTCCCTAATACGCATCCGCCTGTCGTTCTGAGTGTTATGCACAGGCAGAACTTCAGAGAATGACAGCGTGGAAGCAGCCTGCCGGATATCATTGGCAAAAACACTAAAAACTTCCTTAACCTCTGAAACCTCATTGCAAGCCAAGTCATTTGTCCCTAGATGGACAAGTACATCCAATTCCCCTTCCTGCTTTGCTTGCTTAACAATATTACAGATACGTCTCCTGTCTCTGTGAGCAGTAGCTCCGGGAAGACACCTCACAAGACCACCATTGTCCATCTCCACACCTCATATAATGGAATCCCCCAACAACAACTGCTTTCTATTAGGCCTCACCATAGTCTCCAAGCCGGTCTCCACAACACCACTAGTCTCAGTGCCTCTCTCCACAACACCACTAGCCTCAGTGCCTCTCTCCACAACACCACTAGCCTCAGTGCTTCTCTCCACAACACCACAAGCCTCAGTGCCTCTCTCCACAACACCACAAGCCTCATTGCCTCTCTCCACAACAACATTACACTCTGAAAGTGCAGAAAATGAATTATGAAGAGCAACAGACTGTGCAAAATGCCTTTTATCCACAACTCTAAGTCTACCAGATCCCACAGTAATCCATCTGCCATTCCTAGTATGTCTCTGCGGCAGTGGCTTTGTAGCAGTTCCAGTCTGAGTTTGTTCACCAGATAATTTACAAATCTCAGACTTCAAAAATACAATCTACTGCCGCAAGATAGAGAACTGTCTACAGATTAGACAACAACCAAACCTCCAAAAAGTGGAACGTGAAACAAATGCATAGCAATTATTACACTGAACTAAGTCTGCCATTCCAATGAGGACAATAATTTAAATCTAACAAATCTTAACTTTGTATTTATCCTCCTGAATACCTCAGATTACCTCCAGAATAAAGTGCTGCTGTGCAGTATGTAGGATGCAAATATTGTGGGTAGGAAATCAAGTCATATATCAACAAATAATCCGGAAGTATATGAATTCTATATACTGCAGGGCAGCACTTTCTCTGTGGTGATCAACAACATTAAGAAATGTTCATTCAGGAAAACATGTTGGTTATGGTTACTTTATGCACAGGTCAAGGTCACTGGAATTGAAACAGAGAGGCTCAATTTTAATATCATTTGTGAAATTACTATAATATTTTCTTTACAAACAGGGCTGTCAGATTAACTACTTCACAATGATGGGCAGTGCATGAAAAGTGCTCCCTTCATGTATGTAGCAGGGAAATTTCAAATTTTTAAGCCAGTCTAGCCAAACTCAAACCATAGATACATTTTTTCAAATGTGACTATTTTGGCATAAATGTGAAAGTCACAATACAATTTTAACTATTGGCAATTTAGTGAATAACCATACTCGTTTTCCTGGCACTATAGTGCCCTGAGGGTCCCCCTCCCGCCGGGCTCTAGGGGTTGGAAGGAGTTAAACTTAACTCTTTCTCCAGCGCCGGGCGGGGAGCTCTCCTCCCTCTTCTTCCGTCACCGGCTGAATGTGCATGCGCAGCAAGAGCCGCGCGCGCATTCAGCCAGTCCATAGGAAAGCATTATCAATGCTTTCCTATGGATGCTGGCGTCTTCTCACTGTGAAAATCACAGTGAGAAGCGCGGAAGCGCCTCTAGCGGCTGTCAATGAGACAGCCACTAGAGGCTGGATTAACCCTATTATAAACATAGCAGTTTCTCTGAAACTGCTATGTTTACAGAAAAAAGGGTTAATCCTAGCTGGACCAGGCACCCAGACCACTTCATTAAGCTGAAGTTGTTTGGGTGCCTATAGAGGTCCTTTAAGGAGGGACAGCTCCTTTTTCTTACCCAGGTCTCCTTGCACCTCGTCTCCCTCACCTTGTAATTTTCCTCTCTAGGAGTTCAGAATGTTTGCAGCAAATAAGTGGATCACCACAATTAATTCCGATAGAGATTGGCACTTTTATAAATTAACATTATTGCACCTCCCCGGCTGTCATTCAGACAACCAGTCCTTTAACTTCATGGAGCAAGAGGCAGATAATTGCCCAGGGCAAAGACTTCTCATTGAGCTGCATTGGGAAGTCTGTGATTGGACAGCCACTGAACGTCTGGGTGGGGTTAGAAGGGGAGGGTTTGCAAAGGCTGCAGGCAAAGCAGCTTGTGCAAGCTGTGTTTACATATATACCCACAAGGAAAGAATGCATAATTAAATACAGCATGCCTTCATTGGTGGTATATCTACTAAACAGTGATTTTTTTCTTCTTATTTGGCCATTGGAGTGTCCCTTTAATGCCATAGTTTTGACGACAGTTCCTGCCTGCTTTGCCCCATGTCACTTGTTATTAAACAAAACTCAAGGTATTTGTATCAATCCAAGACATGTAGTTACCCTAGATAAGTGGTAGGAAACCTTGGCTAAACATGAGTGTGGGAAGTATAGTTCCTAAACATCTGAAGCGCTATGCTAAGCCAACACTGCCTAGGTTGTTATGGCCTAAATGCAAGGTCTAATACACAACGTATTATGAGCTAGTTCAGTTTCCTCTGCTCACGAGACAAGACAGATGTGGGAGCACTGAGTCAGTTCCCACCTTCACTGAGCTCTGTATTTTACCCAGAGAATCAATGTCTGGAGCAAATCCGTCATTTCCACTATTAAGCCGCTGTTAGTTTTTAATGCACTCGTCAATAGTGCATTTAATAGACAGGACGAGCAACTGCAGTCCCTGCGATAACTCATAACTCCTGTAGCTGAACAGTCGAGGGAGAAGAAGAATCACCACAGATTTTAAAGAGAAAATTGTTAATTTGGGATTGATAAAAGGCTTTTCTAAATGAGGAATAGTGGAGATAAATGGATTTGTCTTTCGCTCTCATTTTACAAAGTAACATTTGTGGAGTCAGAGGATTTAAATTATTTCTCTAACATCATTCTTTTTTCCTCTCTATCTTCTCGACCGCTGTTACTCTTTTCTTTTTAATTTTTTTCCCTGTATCCATCTCTGTATATATTCATCCTAAAATAATCTCTCCCTTCACCTCTCAAATGGTCCCGCTGTCTCCTTCCAACCCTTCTGCTCGCCACATCTCTATCTTGTTCTCTGGCTCAGCTCTTTTATATTTTATCTTCTGGTATTTTCATTGCACACTTTTATCTGAACATTGTTCTGTCAGCCCTCGATTTTTCTGGAAGATTAGAGAGCGAGCTGTTGGGATCAGTGATCTCTTGGTTTGGTCGGGAGAGCCTTTCTAAACACTTGTAGAGTGAGCCGCACATCTAGTTCTAACACTGAATCGGGAAGATTAACAGTAAGTATATTTCATCCTTCCAAAACTTTAACTGAATGATTTCCAGATGGTGAATAAAATTGCATACAACTAAAAAAATGTGGTTAATTCCACTCTAACTGGGTTATTCACTAAAGTCCAATTGACCCCTGTACCGAATCGGGCAAAACCATCCAGCTGCATGCAAGGACATTCGGCAAAATCCAAACTTTGTTCCCGGTATTACACAATGTATGGTTTTTGCAAATCAGCACTGTCAGCAAACAAATTGTACTAAAAATGATCATTCACACACATTATCATTCACACATCAAAAGCAAATTAACAATCATGTGGGGTGCATTCGGTTCCGAATCTTAGTAAAATCGGTACTTGGTGAATCTTCCACATCTTATACTTTGTACGGGGTTCAGGTGTCACCAATATTAATCCATCCAAAATTCCAACCGCATTTTGTTTTATTAAATGTGAGAATTGCAGTTGGAATTGGGTCATTTTCACCAGATTTTGTCCATCTGGTAGTATTCTGAAGACACAGATGGAAAGGTATGGAATCAGTCAAGACATGCAAGTAAAAGGGAATCTCTATTTAAATATGACTGGGATATACATATGAGTAATACATTTATTTTTATTTAAATTAAAGTGTCAGGAACAGCCCCAGGAAATATGAGTAGCAACTGTAGGAGCTGCTTAACCCCTTAAGGACCAAACTTATGGAATAAAAGGGAATCATGACATGTCACACATGTCCTGTCTCCTTAAGGGGTTAAAGAGTTCGTCCAAACATATGGGCTCTATTTAGCCCACCCGTCCTAACGTCACTTTCCCTCCAGCAAAAAGGATCGATTGGGCTGAAGGGAGAACTTGGTCTAGGCGCTGGGCATAGTTACATAGCTGAAAAGAGACTTGCGTCCATCAAGTTCAGCCTTCCTCACATATGTTTTTGCTGTTGATCCAAAAGAAGGCAAAAAACCTAGTCTGAAGCACTTCCAATTTTGCCACAAACTAGGAAAAAAATTCCTTCTTGACTCCAAAATAGCAGTCAGATGTCTCCTTGGATCAAGCAGCTATTACCCCACTAATAGGAATTTATATCCCTGTATGTTATGATTTTGCAAGTATTTATCCAATTGCAGTTTAAACATCTGTAATGACTCTGAAAAAAACACCTCTTCAGGCAGAGAATTCCATATCCTTATAGCTCTTAATGTAAAAAAAAACTTTTCTTTGCCTTAGATGAAATCTCCTTTCTTCCAGCCTAAATGTGTGACCTTGTGTCCTATGTATAGCCCTGTTTATGAATAGGTTTCCAGATAAAGGTTTGTACTGGCCCGAATATATTTGTATAATGTTATCATATCCCCTCTCAGGCGCCATTTTTCCAAACTAAACAGATTTCATTTTTTTAACCTTTCTTCATAACTAAAATGCTCCATTCCTTTTATCAATTTTGTAGCTCGTCTCTGGACTTTTTCCAGTGCCATAATATCTTTCTTTAGAACAGGCACCCAAAATTGCACAGCATATTCAAGGTGTGGTCTTACCAGCGATTTATAAAGAGGCAAAATTATATTTTCATCCCGAGAATTTATGCCGCTATTTATACATGACAAAACCTTACTGGCCTTAGCAACTGCAGATTGACATTGCATATTGCTGCCTAATTTGTTGTCTATAACAATTCCCAAATCCTTCTCGTGTGTGGTTATCCCTAGTTCACTACCATTTAGGGTGTAAATTGCTTGTGCATTCTTAACCCCGAAGTGCATAACTTTGCATTTCTCTACGTTAAATTTCATCTGCCATTTTAGTGCCCAGTCCCCCAATCTATCCAAATCCCTCTGCAGCAAAGCAATATCCTGCTCACATTTTATTACTTTACAAAGTTTTGTGTCACCTGCAATCACTGATACATGGCTTTTTAATGCCTATTTCAAGATCATTTATAAATATGTTAAATAGAAGTGGTCCCAAAACAGAACCCTGAGGGACACCACTTACCACTTTTGTACAGCCTGAAAATTTACCATTAATGACAACTCGTTGTACTCTATCCTTAAGCCAATGTTCTACCCAAGAACAAGAATATTCATAAAACCATGCTGATTATTGCTAATAACAAAGTTCTTCCCAATGAATTCCTGAATATTATTCCTTAATAGCCCTTCAAATATTTTCCCAGTTACAGAAGTTAAGCTCACAGGTCTATAATTTCCAGGCAAGGATTTTGAACCCTTTTTAAATATAGGAACAACATCTG